AATGACCGACCACATGAGAGAGGCCAATAGTTGTTCTCCTCGAACATGGGTAGTTGCGAGTGAGTGAGTGCATCATTCATTAATGTCCTTTGTGGTTACTTGCTGCGGTGTAATGGTGGGCCAGGTCCCCCACCCCCACCCAACCAAACCAAAAACAAACGAATAAATGAATGAATGATTTATTATTAATTAAACATTTTAATTAATTCAGGTTCAAAATCAAGCAAAGCACCGCTCCTCGTGCACTCGTTATTGGCCATGTAATGGTGGATAACACGAGGAAAAACCAATGACAAAAAAGGTAAGACAACGAAATGAGGCCATATTCGAACCGCACAAAACTAAACAGCAACTTGATTAAAATTTATTGTGTAAACAACGCAGTTGAATGAATGAGGTGAGGACCCTTAGGAGGTGGCGGGAGGGAGGGTTTGGAGAAACCCTCCATTGTTGTGGTCATTGTGAAAAGGATACTACTCAACATTTAATGAGCTCTAGGGGATTTTTTTTTGGTTCGTAGTGTTAAACAAACATGTCTCTCTATATATTTATTTGTTATCTAGTAGTAGTAGTACTTCTTGTTGTTTAGACAGAAAGAAAGAAAGGACAATACAAAACAAATATGGCAAGGAACAAACTACAACGAGGCCAAAAAGTCGAAACTAAAGCCCAGATGTCGTTGCCAGCAAGGGATAGGGATCAGAATTCAAATGAAGTGGATAGAATTCAATTGAATTGTTAAGAATATCTTTTTAGTATTTTCAGAGCTATATTTTTAAGGATATATGGGAATCTGGGTTATGGAATCCAACCTCTCCTGTGGATTGGGTAATAATCCAAATCGTGTGTCGACTCCGAGAACAAGAAAAATAAGTCCCTTAATCCAATAGGTTATGGCTTAGTAAGGCTCTGAGCAAAAAACCCCAGGCAAGCTCTGAAGAAATTGGAAACGTTTGAAGAGTCCAAGTAAGCTGCAACGAAGAATTCGTTAAGAAATCAAAAAGTTCGGCCGGGACGAACTTTGAATAACCTCTACCATTTGGAAGGAATTTGAAAATTTTCAAACAAAAAAATTCATAAAAAATCTGTTAAAATCCTGCATAAGCCATTACAATATTCAAATATGAAACTTGAAATAAAACCCGGGGAACATTGTACCTAAATCGTAAAAATACCGAATACATGGAGTTTCTGTTATTTTGGGGTCCATGCGAAGACCATGACCTGCAAAGACAATTTTCTGTTATAGGCTGTAGTACCAATTAGGATCTTCAAATACAAAATTTCAAACAATTCCGGTGAATGATGTCGCTGAAATCATCAAAATACCGAATATAGGGAGTTACTGATATATGGGGCCTATACGAGGACCTGGACCGGTATACGCAATTTTTTGTCGAGGCTGGAGTTCCCATTACGAAATTTGAAACAACTCCTGTGAAAAAGTCGCTAAAATCATCAAAGTATCGAATATTAGGAAGTATCGTTATATGGAGGCTATACGAAGACGTGGGCCGGGATGTCCATATTTTTGTCATAGGCTGTAGAACTCATTACAAATCCAAAATACGAGATTTGGAACAACTCTCTCAACAATACTCTTTCAGGTGGTAAAATACTCAGAATGATCTCCTTTTGTGGATTTTCAGATAATTTCATTGCAAAATTTGGTTGCAATCATTAAAATACCAATACATCGTGGACCGATATGATACACAGAGGGTAAAAAAACTAAATTGAAACAGAAACGTGGTGTGAAAATGTGTTCTTCAATTTATAGTATTCAGAAGATGGAAAGTTTTCAGAATTTTTTAAGGATCACTAAGAGCTTTTGGAATTTTTACAATTATTTTTGAGGGACACATAGAATGTCAATTTTTTTATGAAATGTTCATCAATATTTTCTGGCCTATCGGAGCCTTTAATCTTTTTAGAAACCATTTTTTGACGAGACCTTCCAAACAGCGACTTTTTAAGCCCTTAAAAATGTATATAAGCATCATTCGGAGCCACAAAGGATTTGGGATTATTAAGAATCTTTTTAGATCAATTTCAATTTTCAATTTAAAAATTTTATAATTTTTAAGGAACTTTAGAAGCTTTAGAAAATAATATTTTTAAGGATCTCTCAGAGTCTAGGTAATTTTCAAGAATATTTTGTTCGGTTCTCCGGACAAAATCCTAATGGGTCTTTTTCAAGCCTTTATAATTTTGTAATTAATATTATTAAGAATCAATTAATATATTTTTAAGAATATTTTGGTCAGTCCTCAAGAGTTTAAGAAATTTGAGAGAGAATTTTTAAGGGATTTTCGAAACATGTGATTTTTTTGTAATCCTTATCGATTCGAAATTATATTGTTAAGAACATTTTTCAAATCCCCAAGGATTATTTTTTAAGGTAGTGGAATCTTTGAATATATTTTAAGAATATCTCTCAGAATTTAAAATTGAGAAGAATATTTTGACCTATCCTCTTTATCACTTAGAATTTTAAAGAATATTTTTGAGGGACACAAGGAATTTTTAGAAACATTTTTAAGGGACCTTCCAAACAGCACCTTTGCACGATATAGGAGCGTCAATTAAAACTTTTTAGATTAAAAAAAAAATATAATTTGGCCTTGGAATTTTTAAAATACTTGTGAGGGCACTTAAAGTCTTTGAAATTTGTAGAATATTTTATTTTTTAATAAGTTCTTATGGGTTCTTCAAAGTCCTTACAATTTTAAGAAGTATTTATTAACAAACTTCAAAAATAAAATAAATATAATAATAAGCTAATTTTTTATGGACCTCCGGGGATCTTTCAGATATTTCGTTTAAATTATTTAAAATAGTCTTTAAAAATGGATTTTTGGAATTTCTATTTCTATTTTTATGCATAATTTTGAGCCTTTTCAAGCCATTACAACTTTCTTTCCCCTAGAATCTTTTATAAAATATTTTTGACGGAATCTTAGAATATTTTTTCGAGGAACTTGGAATTTTTAAAGTACTTTTGAGGGAATGCAATTGGAACCTTTAGAATTTTGAGGAACCCAAGAAAGGTTTGATGGATTTTCGGAGTTCACAATTTTTTTTGAGTTGAGTTCAGGTGAGTTTTTGAGTCTATTACGGCTGTTGGATATTTTTTCGAGGAACTTGGAATTTTTAAAGTACTTTTGAGGGAACCCAATTTTTTGCAATATTCTTAAGGCCCTCTCAGAACCTTTAAAATTTGAGGACTCCAAAAAATGTTGATGGATTTTCGTAGTTTAGAGATTATTTTTGAGTCTATTAGGAACTTTTTTAAGCCCATGGGCGTTTTAAAATATTTTAATAGTTCTCAAGAGTTTTCAAAATGTTTCAAAAATTTTTGGTCCTGGGTCATTAAAATTTTTCAGAATAATTTGAAAAACACCAGAGCCTTCAAAGCTTTTAAGAATATTTTTAAATGAACTTTGGCATTTTTAAGAATGTGTTACCCACTCCTCCAGAGTCCTTTGAAATTTTAAGAATAATTTTAGGGTGGGCTCTGTAACGTCTTGAATTATTAATTGTTTTTTGGGAGAATTTCGATGGTCTTGGAATGCTTAAGAATATTTTTTGAGGAGCCTCCAGACCCCTTGAAGTTTTTGAAAATATTTGTTAAAGAATAATTTTATTGAGCTTTAACGTCTTTGTAGTATTAAATAATCTTTTGAAAGACATTCGCGACTCTTGAAATTGTTAAAGATTATATATTTTTTAGAACTCTTAGGTCCTTAACCAAGTATTTCCAAAAACTACAAATAGTCTGGAGACTTCTTGGTAGTGTTTGGAAATATTTGGTTACGGACCTTAGGGTTCTTGAATTTTAAGAGAATTTTTAAGAGAATCATTCAGGTTCATGGTATTTCTTAGACTTTTTTTCAAGGATCCTCAGAAAACTTAGCAGATTTGATACTGCTTTTTAGAAACTTTTAGAGCCCTTGAAAATATTTACAAATATTTGTGAATGTGGGACTTTTTATGTAAAGGATCTTCTAAGTTCATTAAGTTTTCTTTTTAAGCTTAGGAATCTTAGTTTTTTAATGGTCCTTATTCGCTCTGGAATATTTACCCTTTCTAGAAAGAATTTCTTGAACCTTGAAATTGTTAAGGATATCTTTTGATAAGCCTCCAGACCCCTTGAACTTTTCGGTAATATTTGGTTAAAGACTTGGGAGACTAGGAATTTTGAGACAATTTTTAAAAGAAACCTCGTTTTTTTAACATTATTTTCTATGTCCTCGAAGAACTCAGTATATTTGAGATATTTTTTTTTTACCAACATTTAGTGCTCTTCAGGTCTTCCAATTATTGAGAATTTATTTGAAGGATCTTCTAAGTTCGTAAAGTTTTCAGTTGAGGGGCCTTTTACGCTTTGGAATAAATGCCGCATCTGAAGAGCATTTGGGAGCCCTTAAAATGTTCACGAATATTTATTGAAGACCCTCCAGACTACTTGAAGTTTGTGGAAATATTAGGAAAAATACTTTAGAGTTCTGAATTTTTTAAGGTGCCTTCAGAGTCCTTGTATTTTTTAGATATTTATTTCAAGCATCCACAGTATGTTTTAGAGCCCTTGAAACTTTCCAGAAATATTTTTGAATGATACCTTCAAAGACTTGCAATTCTTATGAAGGTTCAAAGCTTATTAATTTTTTTTTGGAAAATTTTAGATAGACCTTCAGTGGCCCAGGAATTTTTAAACATTTTTTTTTGACAGATCTCTTTCGTCTTGAAGTAACGGCTGTTTCTTTAGGGCCTTTGAAATTTTTAAGAACATTTTTTGAAGCCTCCATTTAAACGTTTTTGTGAAGATTTTGGGAATATTTTTTCTATAATTTTCAGAACAATTTTCAAAGTTTTTGATTTTTTACTGGAATTTCATAGACCTTGGAGGACTTTGAACAAAGCTACGAAATGCTTGGAAATTTTAAGAATATTTTTATATTTTATAAATGTTTGCTGGGAGATCTTTAAAAATAACTTACCTTCTCCGAATATTCGACCACATCTCGCATTGAGCGCGGATATCCTGAGATTAAATAGGCTTTGGCAGCTGGAGCCATTTTCATTTCTAACATTAAAACTTCGGTGACGGTTTTCGAAGATAATTGTGAAAAGTCTTGCATATCTGGAAAAGAGGAGAATCAAAATGATTACACTTCAGATTCCAATGATATCTCTGCTCCACACAACTTACCGTTTCCCATGGCATACTGTTGCAGCAGATCCATCATATTGATGTGTGTTACCCCACGGCGCTCCTGCATAAACGTGTCGCAGTGGGTCACTTTGCCACTACCTGGGCCGCCTAAAACAAATATCACTGGCACTTTGGGCGGATCGAATTTTATTTTTCCAACATTTTGCATATCGGTAGCGTTTATATTTGGCGAGGCGACTAAACGTCCACCGCCTGCGCTGGCACTGTTCTGATTTTGAGTAGTACGATTCCATTCGTTGCCTTGTTCGCCGGTGTCCTGTGCTGCACTGGCATCTGCCGGCGAAAAATAAAGTAAACAAACAAAAGTCAGACAAGCAGACAAACAAAAACACACCCAGGAGGGAGAAAGGTGTTAATAACAAAAATTGTTAACCACTTTTAATGGTAAATTGTAAAGAAAAAGAAAAACAAGAAGCGCACTGAACTGAAGCGTATGACTCAAATGGGTTGGTTCTCCTGACCTATGACATATGAAAACTTGAGTGGAATATTTAATTGAAATTGTTAAAAAATTTAGAAGAAAGAATTGAAGATTATTTCAATATTTAATTATTAAAATTTAACGTGGTCAAAGGTCAGGACAAACGGAAGATGAATTTGGCCGGTGTTGGCCGCCATGAACAACAGGAAGTAGAACCGTCACCGTTTCTCATACGTGTGGAGGCCTCAGTAGTGCCACAATTTTGGGTTGTAGACATTTTTTCAACTACCAACAGAGTCCTAAGGACCAAAGACCAACATAAACGTGGATTTTTTCAAGAATATTTTTTCAATGACCAAACGTGGATTTTTCAATAATATTTTTTCAAGGATCATACGTGGACTTTTTAAGAAAATTTTTCAAGGACCAAACGTGGATTTTTTATGAATATTTTTTCAAGGACCAAACGTGGATTTTTAAGAGTATTTTTTCAAGGAACAAACGTGGAATTTTTAAGAATATTTTTTGGACCAAACGTGGTTTTTTTAAGAATATTTTTTTAAGGACCAAACGTAGATTTTTCAAAAAAAAAATTTTCAAGGACCAAACGTGGATTTTTCAAAAATATTTTTGCAAGGCCCAAACGTGGATTTTTCAAAAATATTTTTCAAGGGCCAAACGTGGAGTTTTCAAAAATATTTTTCAAGGACCAATCGTGGATTTTTCGAGAATATTTTTTCACGGACCAAACGTGGATTTTTCGAGAATATTTTTTCAAGGACCAAACCTGGACTTTTAAGAATATTTTTTTAGAGACAAAACGTGGATTTTTAAGAATATTTTTTCAAGGACCAAACCTGAATTTTTCAAAGACCAAACCAAACATGGATTTTTCAAAGACCAAACGTGAATTTTTTCAGGACCAAACGTGGAATTTTTGAGGCCCATCGAGGGTTTTTAAGGATATTTTTGCAGGACCAAACGTGGAATTTTTGAGGCCCATCTAGGGTTTTTAAGGATATTTTTGCAGGACCAAACGTGGAATTTTTGAGGCCTAGCGTGGGTTTCTAAGAATATTTTTTTCAGGATCAAACATGGAATTTTTGAGGCCTAGCGAGGGTTTCTAAGAATATTTTTTTAAGGACCAAACATGGAATTTTTGAGGCCTAGCGAGGGTTTTTAAGAATATTTTTTCAGGACTAAACGTGGAATTTTTGAGGCCTAGCGAGGGTTTTTAAGAATATTTTTTCAGGACTAAACGTGGAATTTTTGAGGACTAAAAGAGCGGCCCACAGACTTATAAACGTGAATATTGTATAAACATTTATTCAACGACCAAAGTATTGTCATGCCAATCTCTCGAATGGCCGTACAGGCAGCCCTACATGTGCTTCAGAGAATGATGAGAGAGTTTGTCACTGAGAGTTAGTTATTACTCAAAAGTCCTTTCCCTTAGCCCTCACACATTCTCTCTCACGAATTACCACCCACACCCCATGCACGTGTAGTTGGTTTGCCTCCGGTGCATGACTCTGTCTATTTCCGAAGGATATGACAGTCAACAAAATAACAAAATAGAAATGAAGGAGACAAAAAAACATGTCAATTAAATTGGTAGTAAAAATGTGGGTGAGAAGAAAATCGATAAAAGTAAACAACGAAAGGAATAATACATTTGTATTTTGTACTTGGACACACACATACATACATTTCGAAATTGGAGTATGTGGGTGAACTTGTTGGCATGACACAAAAAGTAGAAGTGACGTTTATTGTCGCTACTGTAGAAGCAAAAAAAACGAAAACAAAACTAGTTTCATTTTTAAATGAATTCGTATTAATTTCGAATGTCATGCAACGAATGACAACGAAGCAACGAAAAAATATTGGCGGGAATTTGAGAGAAAGGTTTTGAAATTGAAAATTTAGAGGATTTTTAAAATAAATTTTTCAAAAAATAAAAATATTTTTTTCCAGGATTTATTAAAAACTTGATTTTTTTTTAAAACATATATTTTCCACACCCAGAAACAACTGGAAGTTTTTTGAGGGCCTACCATTAGCGTTGAATTTAAAAAAATATTCAAAAAGAATTTTTAAAATCATGCCAGTCAATGTCCATTTATCTCTCCATATATAACAGGGTAGTGAAATCATTGACCGAGAATCAAGGCTCAGACGAAACGGCTGAAGCTAGAATCTTGAAATTTTACACGAGGGTCAGCCTTGGTACGTTGGAGTGGGATAAGACTGGGTTTTTGGAAGTTTGTACTAAAAAGATACGAAAAGTACTAAAAGCTTAATATTTTGTATGATCTGAAATTTGGAATGAGAGTCGCTGATAGTCTACAGGATAGATGTATCCAAGGGTTGTTCGGAAATTCCATCTTTGAGGTTACGAAAAGTTCTAAAGTTGTACGAAACTTCTAAAATAGCACCATTTGGTATTATATGAACGGATAGAGCTAAAAACTTGAAACTTGGTATGAGTATCATGGTTGGAATGTAAGTTTGACATATGAAGGCGTCTTGGAAAATGTGTATTATAATTTACGAAAAGTACTAAATTGTACTAAATTTGGTACAATGTGGTATTTGGTGAACAGATAGTGTTTGAAATCTGATATTTGGTATTAGGGTCGTTGTTCATGTGTAGCCTGGGCATATTTCGGAAATGGGTGCTAGAATTGTACTAAAAGTACTAACTATATTTGGTATAGGGTAAAGGGAGAAAGATACAATTTTGAAATTTGACATTTAGATTACTGATGGTATCTGTGTTTGAAACTGGGTGGCGGGTTAGAATTGCGTTTTATATTTGAGGGTGAGGGCTGAGAATGTACAAAATTTAAGTTACCTTAGATTATTGTATGATTTTTATACCCTTAGCCATATGACTAAATAGGGTATATATCACTTGATACGGCCAAAACGTACCTAGTCGAAATAACGGTTTTAGACCCTAGGTCTCTTTGGACCAAATTCGTTTCAGGACATTTGGAGTCGATCTAACGATGTCTGTCCGTCCATCTATCTGGCTAGCTGGTGCGCACGATAACTCTCGAAGGGAGTATCCGATTTGATCCAAACTTGGTATATCACAATATTATTGTCAAACTTAGATCGAGTTCGAAGATGGGCAACATCGGTCCACTCCTTTTGGTACCTCCCCCACAAAATGTCAACATTTTCAAAGAAACTAATTTATTGCACAGAAAGAGAAATGATAATCCGATTTCGCTCCAACTTAGCGAATCGTAATATTTTCGTCAGTGCTAGGTCAGGTGCAAAAATGGACATTATCGGTGCACTCCATCAGGTACCTCCCCCACAAAGGGTCAACATTTTGAATAATTACAACTTTTAAAAAATGTGATGTAAGAGTCCGATTGTCTTTAAATTTCACACATCCCAATAATTTTATTAACCCAAGGTCTGGTGTGAAAATGGAATACATCGGCACACTCCTTCTGGTACCTCCCTCACAAAAGGCCGAAATTTTCAAAAAAAAATATTTTTTTTCGCGGAAAGAGAAAGGATAATCCGATTTTGCTCCAACTTTGCGAATCGTAATATTTTCGTCAGTGCTAGGTCAGGAGCGAAAATGGACACTATCTGTTCACTCCATCAGGTACCTCCCCCACAAAGGGTCAAATTTTAGAATAATTACAACTCTTATAATATGTTACGTTAGAGTCCGATTGTCTTCACATTTCACTCATCCCAATAATTTTATTAACCCAAGGTCTGGTGTGAAAATGGAATATATCGGCACACTCCTTTTGGTACCTCCCCCACAAGAGACCGAAATTTTCAAAAAATATTTTTTTGCACAGAAAGAGAAAGGATAATCTGATTTTCCTCCAACTTTGCAGTTCAGTATCGGTTCACAATATTTTTATTCACCCAAGGTCTGCTGTGAAAATGGTCCACACCTTCTCGTACCTCCCCCACAAATGGACAAAATTTTGAGTATCCATGAAGCTCATAAAACGCGAAATTATCATCCGATTCCATTCAGATTTGTCACATCTCAATATTTCTATCAACACAAGATCTGTTATAAAGATGGTACAGATCGGACCATTCCTTCTCACATTGGGTTCAAGATTTTTAAGAACAAAACACTCAAAGAAGTCGAAATAAGTATCCAACTCTTTTCAAGATTCACACATCAAAATATTTTTGCTAATGCAAAATCTTTTGTGAAGATGACATATATCTGCCAAGCCCTTCTGTTACCCCTCACCCACAAAGGGTCACAATTTCCAATAGGAAGTAGTCGATATAGTCTAAATCTGCCAAGTTGTAATATTTTTATCAGTCTTAGCGCAGACTGGAGTTAGGCAATATTTTTCAACAGCTTCGGAACCTCTCCCATAAAGGGTCCACAGTTTGAATAATCATAACTCAAGGCTGGGGGTTATGATTAAACCGACTCATACTATTTTCCATGTTTTTTTTTTTTTTTACTTTAAGGTTTCCTCTTTTTGAACACCTCAGAAGGCCTCCTATGTTTCAATTGACTGTATCCATCTATAGAAGAACCTTTAAGAGTCTTTATTATCCATTGAGTAGTTTATTTATAGAAAAGATCTCGAAGTTCTAAAGTATAAGCATATGGAACCTATTTCCACCTATTTCCCATTGTGAAGACTTTAGGAAGACCTTTTCTTCAAAGAAGATTTTCGGAATGTCTTCCATCATCTGCCCAGCTCAGTTAATATCTGCTATTGTTTCCATTTCATTTCCATTTTTACCGGTTGCTTTGTTTATTATTTGCCTAGCATTTTTACAAACAAACACCTACTCCCCACCCCCATCCCGGAAGTGGTGGAGGGTCCATTTACCA